TTCCCTATTAGGAGCATCTGGATTATGAGATCATTCAGTCTCTAAATCCTGAATTTAACAAAGCTGTGATCAGAGTGAACATATTCCGGGAACACAGGCAGACCATTCAGGTGAGGCTTGTTCTAAAACCCTGCCACGTGGGGCCAGTGTCCTGCTGTATATAAATGCTCTAAGATGTCTCCTTTTATAGTTGTTTTATGTGCTGTGAAATTGCATATCTTTTAGACAGCGTTGTTGTTTTATGGCAAACGTGTTCCAGATTTTCAGCCTCTTCTAAAGAAAAACATTCAAGCAGACTACCAAATGTATGTAGCCAGATGGGAAAGTTGTAGTTTTGTCCCTTGAAGATTGAGTGAGTAGGATTGTAAGTATGCTAATCAGCTAAGAGAAATAAAATCATTTTTTCCGACATAATTTCTAGTTTTGCTTAGTTACAGCAGGTTTTGAAACGATGCATCTGTAGTGAGGACAATAAATAACCTCACCATTTAAAAGAAGAAAAGTTCTTTGTAAAATGTACTCTGAACCTTTGCGGTTTAGCTGGTGGCCTCTTTTCCTTTTTAAACGGTGTTTCCCCGAAAGCTCTGTGAATCTCCAGTGCTCTGTAAGCCTAAATGGTCTGTACTTGTCCAAAGGCTACAATTTTGTTAAATCATGACAGGTTTGCAGAAGGGATGGAGGCCCGTGGGCTCCTAATGGAGCAGGTTATTGATCACTTTTGGAGTTGGGTTGGGGTGGGAAGTGGGCCAGGTCAACTTGGCACTTTACGCCCTTGAACTTTATGCCTGTGAGGCATTTGTATATGTCTGTCAAGGAGGTATACCTTTTATCAAGGATCCAGGTTATAAATAAGGTTCAGTGTTTGTGCCTTTTTCCCTCAAGGACCTCAATTTTTTTCTTGCTGGGTCTCTTTCTAGACTCTCTTCTTTCTGTGCGTTTCTTCCTACTTTGGCCTGGTTCTCTCAGCTGAGGGGAAGAGAGTCCAGTGTTGGGGTAGGGTGGGGTGAGGGGCAGGCTGCAGGCCCTGAGAATACAGAGATCTGTTAAAACTCAAGAAAAACACACAAACCAAAGAGGGAGAACCTTTCCGTGAAATGCCTGGCTCAGCCCTCGCCGCTCCTTGGATCTGTCATCAGAGACCTTCTCGTATTACCAGAGTCCTTTTGTCTCCAGACTGGAGTTGAAGTGCAGAAGAGGTGACCTGACTTTATGAGGCTACATTTGTGTCCCTTTGAGACCTCTTCTTTCTTGCTGGAAATTGCGATATAGAAGAATATTAAAGTCGGCTGTGCCTCTCCAGGGGCCTGCTTTCTGCTGCTTTTATGAGGTGCTTGTTTAGTTTTTCTCTGTAAGGATCCAAGATGTGGGGCCTTACTGAGGATATGTATCTGCTGTCGGAAATGAGTGGGGTCTCTGCCCCCTCGACCCATCAGCTTCCAGCAAAGCAGTTAAAAGAATCTCACCTGTGACGGAATACTTGAAAACTACAGGAAAGCACAGAGACCAACATAAGATAACACTCAAGTGCCCAGCACTCAGGCTTAAGAAATGCTGATGTTTTGCTGTTTGCTGTGTTTGTTTCATGTTTAAAAAGCCACTCATGGGCTTCCCTGGTGGCGCAGTGGCTGAGAGTCCGCCTGCCGATGCAGGGGACACGGGTTTGTGCCCCGGTCCGGGAAGATCCCACGTGTCGCGGAGCGGCTAGGCCCGTGAGCCATGGCCGCTGAGCCTGCACTTCCGGAGCCTGTGCTCCACACCGGGAGAGGCCACAACAGTGAGAGGCCCACGTACCGCAAAAAAAAAAAAAAAAAAAAAAAAAACCACCACAATTAGATATCACCTCACACCTGTCAGAATGGCTGTCATCACAATGTCTACAAATAACACACAAAAAAAAAAAAAAAAAAAAAAAAAAAAAGCCACTCATATTTTTGTTTTAAAGATCTGAATCCTCACAGACATGGTTGAAGTCCCTCTTGTACTTCCCCATCCATTCCCTTCCGTCACTCCCCATACTGTGCTCTGAGATTGGTGTGTTTCCTTTCTTTTTCTTCTCTTTTTAAATGAATTTATTTATTTTTGGTTGGGCTGGGTCTTCATCACTGCACGCAGGTTTTCTCTAGTTGCGGCGAGCGGGCTTCCCATTGCAGTGCACGGGCTTCTCATTGCGGTGGCTTCTCTTGTGGCGGAGCACTGACTCTAGACGCGCGAGCTTCAGTAGTTGTGGCTCGCGGGCTCTAGGGCGCAGGCTCAGTAGTTGTGGCGCACAGGCTTAGTTGCTCCGCGGCATGTGAGATCTTCCTGGACCAGGGTTCAAACCCGTGTCCCCTGCATTGGCAGGTAGATTCTTAACCACTGCGCCACCAGGGAAGTCCCTGGTGTGTTTCCTTTCAATTCATTTGTTTATATTTCACTACATAATTATGTATCCATAAATGGTAACATACTATGCTTGTCTTTTTTCAGCTTGCCTGTTTTTCACTCAACATTTGTTTTCAAGTTGGTCCAGATTGAAGCTTGTAGATCTGGTTGATTCATTTTTAAGCACTATATGAGCACATTACAGTTTATTTATATGTTTCTAGAATTGGAATTGTTGGGTCTTAGGGTATACGTAGATTTCCATCTTTCTCGGATTTTGCCAAATTCTTCCTCAAAGTGTTTGTACATATTTACTTTCACCCCAGCACTCCTGAGTTTTTGTTTCCCCACGTCCTCACGAACACTGGGTGTTTTACTGCTATTTAAGTTTTGCCCGTCTGCGTGTGAAGTGGGGTCTCCTTGTTGTCTTGAGCATTGCGCTGATTACTAGTGAGGTTGAGTACCTTTGTTTATGTTAGTTGGCTATTCAGGTTTCCTCTCCTGTAAAAATACCTCTTCATAGACTTTTGCAAACTTTAAAAAGAGCAGGAACCCCTGTAGGAACTGAAAGGGTTGTTTATACGCGTAAGGGTGCCAAGCTCATGGCAAGTTTGTGACATTAGATGGCCCAGCTAATAATATAAATAAGGATGTGTGAGCACTGAGAAGGTTATAAGTCTTAGAAGTGTCCCCACCAGTGCAGGGGGACCTGGGCTTTATATTGACAGTGTCAAAGCAGGCCACGCAGTACCCAGAGTGTAGGAGATGCTTGAGAAACTCCTCCCCTTTAGCCATTGCTGGGGCCAAGCTTGCCTCTGGCCCACTGGCCAGAGTGAGGCTGGGGAGAAGCCTGAGAAGGGAGAGAGGAGAGAAAGGGAGGCACCACCTATCACTCCTAAGGTCCCAGGTAGGGCATTTTTACAGATTTACCTATTTTTTTTTCTCAAGCAGCCATCAGGTATTTCCTCCATTTTTTGGAGAGGAACCTGAGGTGCTGAGATGAAGTGACCTGCCCAGGGCCACACAGTCAGTGGTCGACCTGTTTGGACCCAGGCATCTGACTCTAAGCCCATCCCAGCTTTGCCCTGCCAGGGAAAAGCGAGAAGGAGGAATGAGAGAAGAAGAAATGGGACCAGGGAGAGAGAGTAAAGAGAGGCCTTTATGGTGACTCACCAGTGATCACAGCCATGGTATCAGGTGGCCAAGCTAATAATACAAATTTTTCTTTCTGGCAGTATATACATCCTGCAGATGCTGTGAAACTGGGCCAGGCTGAACTTGTTGTGATCGATGAAGCTGCTGCCATACCCCTCCCCCTGGTGAAGAGCCTTCTGGGCCCCTACCTTGTGTTCATGGCCTCCACCATCAACGGGTGAGGCACCTCGCGCAGGAGCCGTTGCTCCCATTGTAGGTTGTTGCCAGTTAGATAGCATTTAACGAATGTGACCTGGGCCTGGGTGGGTAGGGCTGATTCCTGAAGTTTGAGTCTTTGGGGCTCTGCTGCACTCTCTCCTCGGCCTTCTCCTTGGCAGCTGGCCCCTTCATAGTAAACTACAGCTCACTTCTGGTCTGAGCTACGGCCCGCCAGAACAGGCAGCACCAGACTGAAGGACTTCATAACCCAGCTGATGAGTGTCTCCTTCTGTCCATAGGCCTGATGAAGTTCTAAAGGGCACATGGATGGCAATGCCAGTGTCTTATCTCTGAGGCTTATGTGAAAATATAGTATTAAAGTAACTGTATAGTTATCATAAGAAAGCAGGCTCAAGAGCTTTTTTAAAATTTTGAAATATTTAGTTCTTGTTTGCTTTAGAAAAGCTAGAAAGGTTAGGTAAGCAAAAAGAAAAATCACCGGTGATCTGACCACATAGAGACAGCTTGTTAGAATTTTGGTGTACATTTTCTGTGCATTTATTTAACTTTTTCATTTTGAATAAGAACATAAACATAGTTTTCATAATGTTTTGAATTTGCTTTTTTATGTAAAGAATATACTGGGAATTCCCTGGCGGTGCAGGGGTTAGGACTCTGAGCTTCCACTTCTGGGGGCCTGGGTTTGATCCTTGGTTGGGGAACTAAGATCCCACAAGCCGTGCAGCATGGCCAAAAAAAAAAAAAGAGTATACTGGGAAATCGTTGCTGTTCAGTGTATACATATCTTCAGTATTGAAAAGATTTCTATATGGAAGTCACATCTTGAAGAGATAATTCTATATTATAGATTTATTATTTGACTGCTTTGCTTATACTGAAAACAGTTAAATAAAATGGGTTTTACTCTTTTTTGATAACTGCTTTATTGAGATATATTTAAAGTGTATAATTTAGTGATTTTTAGTATATTCATAGAGTTGTGAAACCATCACCACTGTCAATTTTAAAACATTTTCATTGCCCCAGAAAGAAACCCCATATCCTTTAATTATCATCCTCCAGTTCCTTCCTACCCCCCAGTTATAGGCAACCACTAATCAACTTTCTGTATCTATGGATTTGCCTATTCTGGACACTTTATATAAGTGGAATCTTAGAATATGTGGTCCTTTGTGGCTGGCTTCTTTCACTAACCATAGTGTTTTCAAGGTTCATCCGTGTAGCTTATATCGGTACTTCATTCCTTTTTATGGCCGAATACTATCCATTGTATGTTTATGCACATTTTGTTTTTCCATTCATCTTTTTGATGGTCATTTGTGTTTTTTCTCTCTTTTGGCTAGTAGCAGTAATGCTGCTGTCAACATTCATGTACAGGTTTTTGTGCAGACATGTTTTCTGTTCTGTCGGGTGTATACCTAGAAGTGGAATTAGTGGGTCAAATGATAACTTTCTGTTTATCTGTTAGCAAACTGCCAGATTGTTTTCCTAAGCAGCAGTACCATTTTACCTTCCTATCGCAGTGTCTGAGGGTTCCAGTTTTTCCATATCCTTGCTAGCATTTATGTCTTTTTGATTATAGCCATCCTAATGAGTATGAAATGGTATCTCATGTGGTCTTTATTTGCATTTCCCTGATGGCTGATGATGTGGGGCATCGTATATGCTTATTGGCCATTATTTATCTTCTTTGGAGAAGTATCTATTCAGATCCTCTGCTCATTTTTCTAATTGAGTTGTCTTACTTATTATTGAGTTGTATGGAAGGGTTCCTTATATGGTCTAGATACAAGTCTCATATACATGATTTACAGAAATTTTCTCCCACTCAAAAACTTTCTCCCAGGGCTTCCCTGGTGGCGCAGTGGTTGCGAGTCCGCCTGCCGATGCCGGGGACACGGGTTCGTGCCCCGGTCCGGAAAAATCCCACATGCCGCGAAGCGGCTGGGCCCGTGAGCCATGGCTGCTGAGCCTGCGCGTCCGGAGCCTGTGCTCCGCAATGGGAGAGGCCACAACAGTGAGAGGCCCGCGCACCACAAAAAACAAAACAAAACAAAACAGATTTCTCCCACTCAAGAAATTCCACTTTCTTGATAATGTTCTTTGAAACACAAAATTTTTTTAGCTTTGTTGCTTGTGCTTACTCTTTTTTTTTTTTTTTTTTTTAAATAAGTAAATGGAATTCCTTTGAGAATGCTTTGTTATATGGGGCAGGCAGGAGTAATAAAAGCACTTCAAAATGTAATTTTTTGATCATTCTTTAAAAGTAGGATTTGAGTTAGAGGAAGTTTTTATACAGTATCCTCATTTATGATAATGAATGCTATGAAACAGTGTAAAACTGAAAATTAAAAAGACCCACTGAGCAGTCTGCACCCTGTGGTCACGTGTGCTTGTGACCAAAGACAAGGAGGAAATAACAATTGAAAAGAGCTGGTTCAGTGATCAGATTATAGATGATTTCTTTTCCCCCAATTTTTTATTACTTCTTTATGTCATCTTTTAAATGAAAGCAGTAATGAGAAAAGTTACTTGGGTGGTGGATTTGTTTAATCTTAATTTTTTCAAACTGGAAATGCTCTCTGTTCATTTTTTCAAGCATGGAACTTCTAATAGCAGCTCTTATTAATTGGCCATTTACCTGTGTTCCAGTTCCATTATGCTAAATGCTTTATTCACGTCATCTTCTCAGTCCTTATTTATTTATTTATTTTTTTTTGCGGTACGCGGGCCTCTCACTGCCGTGGCCCCTCCCGTTGCGGAGCACAGGCTCCGGACGCGCAGGCCCAGCGGCCATGGCTCACGGGCCCAGCCGCTCCACGGCACGTGGGATCTTCCCGGACCGGAGCACAAACCCGTGTCCCCTGCATCGGCAGGCGGACTCTCAACCACTGCCCCACCAGGGAAGCCCTCAGTCCTTATTTTTTAGTTCACAGTACAGTCCGGTGAGATGTGTGGAATAGTCCCCTTTTGAGGAGGAGGCTAAAAGGGGTTGAGTTCTTTGTCCAGAGGTACTAAATGAACATGCCAGGACTTGAGCCCAGGCCCAGATGGCTCTGAGGTGAGCCATCATGCAGCCCTGCCTCCTTTGGGCATGGAAGTTCAGAGGTGACAGGGTTGTCCTCGGCGAACAGAAGTCTGGTGTTTCATCAGGACAAGGAAGGTCCCCTCCTAGAAAGTTGTCCCCTCCTAGAAAGTTGATTTGGGACCTTATGCCTGATTGCCTTTGCTTTTGCTCCTAGCTACGAGGGCACTGGCCGGTCTCTGTCCCTCAAGCTAATTCAGCAGCTCCGTCAACAGAGTGCCCAGAGCCAGGTCAGCACCACCGCTGAGAACAAGACCACGACGACTGCCAGACTGGCATCAGGTACCCCTGGAGCTCTGAATGCGCCTGCAGTGCACAGCAAGTCACTTCACACTCTCCTGCGGGATCCTTCCCCTCATGACCTCATGGGCGGTAACAGAGCGTCTGACCATCAGGCAGAGAGGTTGAGTCCCCAAGAGGTGAAGTTGCTTTTCTCTGAGGAACAGCAAACCAGTGACCAGATGGGAGGCTGACCTGGGCCTTCTGGTGGCTAGATTCCTGTTTGTCACCATCTCAGGGCATTGGTTGCATTGACTTAGAGAGATTCCCCTTGGGATTGGTGTCGAGGCAAGTTGAACATCCATCAGAACAATTTAAAACCACTCGCTTTGAATTCTTGAGCCATATTTTGTGAGCGCCATGGGACAGAGATAAAGTAGAACGTTTGCCTTGCTCTTGTGGACAAAAAGTATTTACTAGTTGTTCCTCACTGTGTGTGTGTGTTTTGTGGGGAACAGCGCGAACCCTGCATGAGGTTTCCCTGCACGAGTCGATCCGATACGCCCCTGGGGATGCAGTAGAGAAGTGGCTGAACGACCTGCTGTGCCTGGATTGCCTCAACATCACTCGGATCATCTCTGGCTGCCCCTTGCCTGAAGCCTGTGAGCTGTATCCTCCTGGGTTCCATTTGCCCTGTGAAAGGGAGAGGGGGCAATGGAAGAGTTGAACAAAGGGTTTTGGCCATTTGCTTCATAGGCGGCTGCTCTAGGGAGAGGGGAAAGTTGAATGTTGTTGATTTCCCTTCTTTTCCTCCCTAATATGTTTCTGCTCAGAACCAGGGGCTCCTCTTCCCAGGTGGAGGGAAACACACATATCCAGGTGACCCTTGGAAGTAGTGTGTCCTGTTTTGGGTTCTCTTTGATTTGCTTTGGTTGCTTAACTCCAGGTCCAGCTACTATGTTAATAGAGATACCCTCTTTTGCTACCACAAAGCCTCTGAGGTTTTCCTCCAACGGCTTATGGCCCTCTACGTGGCTTCTCATTACAAGGTAACTGCAGCAAGCCCTCGGGTGAACTTTAGCAGTGAATTCCAGCACTGGGCAGTGCCTTTTGACTCGGCTTTTTGCATGTTTTGTTACCCAGTGGCTCAGGTGACCATTCCACTGGGACTTGAACATCCTGATGTTGGCAGGGTCCAGGGATCCTGCTGGAGGGGTTGCATTTCCCATTGTTGTTCAGGCTTGTCGTGGGCTCCAGCTTTGCATACAGAGTGTGAGATTTCTGCACGTAGCTCCATGTGTGGTAGCTGGAGAGGGTGGAAAGTTTTGCCCATTTTAAAAGGGGTACTTATATTTCTTGCCTGTTGGCTAAATGGATGGGCTGAGATGACATAGCAGTTGTAATCCGGGGGCTGCTGTTTGACCTGAGACCAGCCTTATACCCCTCGGCTGTTTTTAAGGAGCAGTGAATGAGAATTTGGAATATTTGAAAGTCTTAAAAAGGCACATTGGAAAGGACACTTTTTGAGTGTCTAGGTAGCTTTTTTATGAACACCCTTTAAGCGGAAGCTGAAGGGTTGATGACAGAAGTGGTGAGAGGTTGTCTTGAATAGCAGCCCCTTATCAGGAAGAAGCTTGCTGCCCAGCTGTGAGGTGCGGCACTAACTAAGCGGGTCTCTGCTCCGGCTCTGCAGCCTCAGCACTCGTGGTGAGGCGACAGCAAACGTTGGAGGCTTAAGTCCCGCTTAAGCCCTTACGGAGGGTCTCAGGCTGGCCGGCTGTGATGCTGGAAAGGCACTTTGACGGGTTTCCGCACGTCACTTGGCTCTGGGGAAGGCAGTTCTCCAGTCATGACTGTGGAGTAGCCTCTCGAGTGAGGACAGGATGAGGAGTGCTTCTCACTGACCCGTTGGTGCCCCACAGAACTCTCCCAGCGATCTCCAGATGCTTTCTGATGCGCCTGCTCACCATCTCTTCTGCCTCCTGCCTCCCGTGCCCCCCACCCAGAATGCCCTTCCTGAAGTGCTTGCTGTCATCCAGGTACAGGAGCTGAGGTGTCCTTGTGGCATTGATTTTGGGACCCACTTAGGCGTCAAGGATTAGTGGCTCGGTAACTGCAGCGCAGAAGGGGAAGCTGTTGATTCCTGGTCTCAAGCCTAGTGACTGGACGTATCCAGGCAGGCGATTAGGGTGCATCAAAGGAAACTACCACCCAGACAGAAACCCAAAGCCCCACTGTTCATGGATGGGTAAAAATCAGAACTGGCCACTCGTATTTTGACTTGCAGCTCCTAAAACAGAACTTTGTTTTCCTCCTTTATTACTAAAGCAATACGTGCTACCTGTAAAATTAGAAGACACAGATTGGACAGATGTTTTTAATGCCTAGCCTGTATTTACGCATTTCTTTATCACTTTTCCTGTTCATAAACATGCGATCATAGTATTTGGTAATTTGGTTTTTTTTTTCAATGTGTCAGATATTCATAATCTGCATAATTTTTAAGGCTGCATTGTATTTCATGACATGCACGTACGGTACTGTGTTTAACCATCCTCCTGTTAGACCCTGGAGTCACTGACGTTGCGCAGTTCCGAAGAGAGCCACGTGAGCATCCTGAGCCTTAATTGATGAGCTCACATGTACACAATGTGTGGAGACCCTCTTCTAGTGTGGTTTTGCTCTCTGGGCCAGGAGGATGTCAGTATTCTGCCTTCTTAGTGACGGTGTCAGGATGCCCAGGGGACACAGTAATGAAACTTCTCTTGGAAACGGATGAGTTGGTTACAGGGTTAAGCATGCGCTGGAGTGGAAACAGCCGGCCTAGTCAGAGCAAGGGCGGAGTGCTGGTGAGGTTCTGGGGGTGGGCTCTGAACCTGGAGCCGGCCTTTCTGTCTGCACTGTCCTGCTTCCCCAACAGGTGTGCCTTGAGGGGGAGATTTCTCGCCAGTCCATCTTGAACAGCCTGTCTCGAGGCAAGAAAGCTTCGGGGGACCTGATTCCATGGACAGTGTCGGAACAGGTGATGTGCTTTCCCTGGTGTGTCTGAGCAAGTGAAGCTGGCAGTGCTGGAGGCTGTCTTTTGTTGCTTAGTTACCGGCTTGTGTCTCCCCCACAGTTCCAAGACCCAGACTTTGGCGGCCTTTCGGGTGGAAGAGTGGTTCGCATTGCTGTTCACCCGGATTATCAAGCGGTAACGTGTCCTAGTGTGTGCTGTTATTTAAACCTGGTGTGCTGTAATTAGCTGCAGCCGTGTTGCTGGCCGGTTGTTAGGGCAGGTGTACGCGGTTGTTTAAATAGGAAGCTGGTCAAGGAGTAGCAGATCCAGGTCCCCCTCTGCTGTGGACGGTTTGCCCGGGGCTGGGGGTGGGCGGGCAGGATGATTGTATGTGCTCACTCTTTGTGAGGACAGGGGACTTGTGAACCAGGTCTGCTTCCTGTAGTTACCTCCCGTCTTAGAAGTCCTCACCGAGGAGTTAGCTGTAGAGTCATCAGTTCCGAGCTCGCTGATCTGTGGACCAGAAAGCATGCTCAGCCATCCTCATGTTCTTGACGGGCTGGACAGTGCGTCCACGGTCGTGCCACGCTAGGTCTTAAGGGTCTCTGCTTTGACCTTGTTGAGGGGTTTCATTGGTTCTCTTTGCGAAGTGCAGTTTGACCTGGAGTGAAGGCTTTCTAGAAGCAGTGCGGGCGTACGAGTGGTGTAGACACTGAGGACATCTCTCTTCCCTTTGCCTGTTTCCCTCCGTGTTTGCTCACAGATGGGCTATGGCAGCCGAGCCCTGCAGCTGCTGCAGATGTACTATGAGGGCAGATTCCCTTGTCTCGAGGAGAAGGTCCTGGAGCCCTCACAAGAAATTCACACTGTCAGCAGTGAGGTAAGCGTCTTCTGGCCAAGCTCCTGGTTCCGGGGAGGGCCATCCTCTGGGTTTTCAGGAGTATCATCAAGAGCTGTCCTGTGGTCTGGGCTCTCTGAGCAGTAGCAGCAGAGTTCCTCTCTGGTTTTGGAGAAGCTTCTCTTTCTCCAACTGACACTGAGACCGAGGCCCTCGGATCAGCATCATCCGCCTCACCTGGAGACTCGTTAAGAGTGTCAGCTCTTGACCCCTGCCCCGGACCTCCTGAATCCGAGGCTCTGGGTGGGGCCCAGGAGTCTGCCTGAAGCTCCCAGGTGGTGCTGATCCACATGCCAGCTGAAAGCCACAGCTGTGCAGTGCAGTCTCCTCCTCTTAGTACTGAACTCCGACTCAGGGAAGCTCTGTCTTTCTGGGTAAGACTGCTTAACGCTAGGAGCTGGGACAGCTTTTCACACGGGTTCATTTGATTTTTCACGGTGTGCCTGTTCAGGAGGTGGGAAGGGGCTTATACTTAAGGTCGGGCTCAGAGGTTTGTCACTTCCCAAGACACAGCCATCCGGTGACAGACCTGCATCTTCAGCACCTTACCTCCGTCTCTTTGTAAATGCGTTTGGCATTTCTAAACCGTGTGGCTGTTTCCCGAATTCTGGGTTTTGAGCAGTGTGAGTCCGTGCTTGTCTAGGGGTTTGGTATCCTTAGGAATGATGACTGGACTTAGTGGTGATTTTACATTTTAAAAACCAAGACACCTGCCCCGGTTTTTGCTGTGTTCGTCCAGAGCTTGGTGTGGCCAGGGGTGCTTGGGAATGTCACTAAGCTTCCTCCCTCTCCGCTGGGTGGACGTGCTCTCCCCTCTGGCATCCTCCAGGCTGTCAGCTTGCTGGAAGAGGTCGTCACTCCCCGGAAGGACCTGCCTCCCTTACTTCTCAAACTGAACGAGAGGCCTGCCGAGCACCTGGACTACCTGGGGGTGTGCTACGGCTTGACCCCCAGGCTCCTCAGGTAAGCGTTCGCCTGCCCTTCCTCCCGCAGCATCCTTTTGGCCTTGGTGTCCTGAGAATGAGAGTCCTGTGGGCTACGTGTCTGCCTTTGCAGTGGTGTCAGCTGTCCTGACGCCCCCACACTGCTGCCCTCACCCCCCGCCCTTCCCAGCGCTGTGTGTCAGCCGCTCCCAGAAGGCACACGTGGTGACCTGCTCTCTGTATCCTTTGCAGGTTCTGGAAACGAGCTGGCTTTGTCCCTGTTTATCTGAGACAGACCCCGGTGAGTGAGGCGTCTGGCAGAGGAGGGTGGTGACAGGTGTGTCCTTGCAGAGCCCTGGTGCCTCCCGCTGCGCTCTGAGCGGTGTGCCTGTGCTGCCAGGAGGCTGCTCTGAATGCCCCCGGAGCAGCCGCCCTTACCGAGGGCCACACGGTCACTCTCCCCACTGCACACTCTAGCGGCTTTGTGCTCCATGCTGAGATGGCGGAAGTGCACGTGGGCTTGTTCACCACGTTCTGGAATCCTGTCACTGGGGGCCTCCTCGAATTTGTATTTTTTAAGAACAGGAAGAAAAGTGGTTTTAGGGGAGGAGTGCATACTATAAGCTGGTATCTGAAGGAGGGATGCGCTTGTGTGGACAACAGAGCCATAGAGGATAAAATGGAAGATGAGAGAGTTAGTGGCTGTCACTTCATTAAAAAAAAATTTATTTAGTGCATGCACTGAATCAAGCAGTGAGCAAGACAAGCCGTGAAGCTTATTTTCCAGTGAGGAGAAATAGGTAGCAAAAAAGTGAGCAGACGAGAAGTATTCAGATAGTGACAGTGTAATGAGTGGTCAGGCTTCTGAGGGGTGACCTTTCAAACTGCAACCTGAATGATCAGAGTGGACCAGCCACGTGGCAGTCCTGCCTGCAGGAAAGTGAGCGTATTCAAGCAGGGGCACAGCAAATGTGAGGACCTGAGGCAGAAAGGAAGTTGGTGATTTGAAGGAAACAAAGGGCCAGTGTGGCTGGAGGGACCTTGAAAGGAAAGGGTGATGATTCACAGCAGGGCAGGTGGGTCTGGGCAGGGACTCTGCACTCCCTCCCCGTTCAGGTGGAGGGAGGGGTTAGAGGGAAGGTGCTGGGGCTGCTGTGTAGACGATGGACGGTGGCCCATGAGTAGAGACGGGGAGATGAGCGGCTTGGCTGGGGAGGACATGGTGAGGGGAGAGAAGGGCCAGATGCCAGGGGTGTTTGGGAGGTGAACTAAGAAGAGTTGAAGGATGGGGGTGTGGAAGGTAAGTGAACAGAAGTATCAAGGGTAGTTCTTTGGTTTTTGGCTGGAGAGACTGGCTGAGAAACTGGGTGTTGGAGGTGCTGTTTCCTGAGATAAGACTCAGTGGGGGCTTCCTTGGTGGTGCAGCGGTTAAGAACCCAGCTGCCAGTGCAGGGGACACGGGTTCGAGCCCTGTTCCGGGAAGATCCCACATGCCGCGGAGCAGCTAAGCCTGTGCACCACAACGGCTGAGCCTGTGCTCTAGAGCCCGGGAGCCACAACTACTGAGCCTGCACTCTAGAGCCCGTGCGCCACAACTACTGAGCCTGCACTCCAGAGCCCGCGAGCCACAACTACTGAAGCCCGCGCGCCTAGAGCCCGTGCTCCGCAGCAAGAGACGCCACCGCAGTGAGAAGCCCGCGCACCACAACAGAGTGGCCCCCGCTCACCACAACTAGAGAAAGCCCGCGCGCAGCAACGAAGACCCAACGCAGCCAAAAAAATAAATAAAATAATAAATAAATTAAAAAAAAAACTGAATGGGGGAGGACCAGATTTGGAGGTGGAAGTGGGAATTGTTTTTGGCATAGTAAGTGTGTGATGCCTATTAGACAGCCAAGTGTGGAAGTATGGAATAGGCAGTTGACTACAGGAGTCTGGAGATCAAGGAAGAGGTTGGGGCTGGAGACAGAGATTTGAGAGTCATCAGCATACTCTTAATAGAATATACTCTCGTGGTCAAGGATTTTTTTGGTGTGGAGTCGGGCGGCCTGTTTTCTTCACAGCTGTAACCCCAGCACCTAATAGCATCTGCTCTGTGTAGTACATGTTCAGTAAACACTTTTGTTCAGTGAATAAGTATTTAAAGCTGTTGGAAGTAGGGGCTGAGAATAAAGAAGGTGAGTCCTTAGACTCTGCAGCATTTAGAGGAATGAGTCAGGAAACACAGCAAGGGAGGCTGAGGAGTAGCCATGATCTGTAGGAGAAGGGCAGGGGCTGTGGTGTCAGAATCCAAGAATAACGAGTGTTTCAGGAAGGGGAGTCATTGCTGTCAGAGAACGAGTAAGGTTAGGACAGTTGACCATTGGATTTGTCAGTGTTGGTGATCTGAATAAAGGCAGCTTCAGTGGAGTGGCGGGATCAACCTGACCGGAGAGAATGGGAGGTGAGGAAATAGACTGAATACACGATTCCTGCACGAGGCAAAGGGAGCAGAGGAATAAGGTAGCTGGGGGGAGATTGGAGTCAGGGCGGGTTTGTCAGCCGGGAGGTTCCAGAACATGTTTGTTTGCTGCAGGGTATGATCCTGTAGAGATCATGCAGATGCAGGTGAGGGGGGCTGATTGCAGGACTACAGGCCTGGAAGAGGCAGGAGGGTAGGACCTGGAGTGCAGGGGGAGAGGTGGCCACCGCATCCCTCACAACAGGAGGGAAGCAAAGAGTGGGCGCAGAAGGTGTTGGTCAGCTGGTGGAGCTGGTGCTGGGAGGATGAAGAATTTCTCCTGATTGCTTCTGTTTTCCCAGAGGGGAGGCCAGCAGCTGAGAGGGAGTGTTGGAGGTTTGGTTTTGGAGAGCTCAAGGTCAATATCCAAGGGTGGCACCCATCTGAGAGTTCAAAGCTGGACTGATGAGGATCACTGGGTGTGTGGCTGCTTCCACGTGGGCAGGAGCAGCTGTAGAGGGTCCTTGTCAGTGACCCTGGTGGAGGCTGGAATGTAAGTTTGGTGGTCGACTGCAAGGAACACACAGCCAGTGAGTTCAGTGTAGACCATGGTATGTCCCTGTGGTCTTGTACTGTGCAGTGCTTGTTTGTGACGTGGTGGTGGTGTTTTGTTACGTGAATGCCCTTCAGTTGAAATCCATTAGGTATTTTTATGGTGTTGGGCTTTGTGGTTGTTGTGTAGTAGAAATGAAAAAACCTGTGGTTACTGCTTTAGTACCTAAAGGAGCCTGCACTTGCAAACCTGTTGCCAGCAGGGGAACTCTTGCCGTGCTTTTTTTTGGCCATGCAGTTTTTGCTGCGAGCACCCAAAACCCGTTGACTGGATCATGTGGAGTTTAAGCTGTAATGCCTCCCGGTTCAGAATCTGACCTGATGTGAGCAAGGGGCTCACAGCAGAAGATATGCTCCGAAGGTCTGAGCAGCTTTGCGCCATCGCTGGGGCACCTGCTCAGAAGTTGCAGGGCAAAGTGGTCTCTGGAAGCTGTCGTGTAGGCAGTGGGCCCTGCGAGAATGAAGGCGAGGCCGCCTCTCCTGCTGGGGAGGAAGCAAGGGCCCGTGTAAGCGTGCTTGCCCTGCAGCAGTGACAGGTCCTTCATAGAAGGGGGTCTTGGTGCCAGTTAGGGATTTGTGTTTCCCAGAATGACCTGACCGGAGAACACTCGTGCATCATGCTAAAGACGTTGATGGACGAGGATGAGGCCGACCAGGGCGCCTGGCTCTCTGCCTTTTGGAAAGGTGAGTGGGAGTGGAGGTGGAGGGTGGCCAGGTGCAGGCACAGGGGCCTGCAGACCTCTGACACTGTGTGGTTGAACCCCGCAGATTTCCAAAGGCGATTCCTAGCCCTGCTGTCCTACCAGTTCAGCACCTTCTCTCCTTCCCTGGCCCTGAACATCCTTCAGAACAGGAACATCGGGAAACCCGTGCAGCTGGGTGAGCTGGTGGGGCGGCCGGAGCGCTGGTGGGGCTTGGTTGTGTGGAACAGGCGGTGTGGGCATGTGGTCCAGGAAGAAGGCTGGACTAGGAATGGAGGGGCTCGTTCCAGGCCTGCGTCTCCCCCACCCGCCTCTGCTCAGCCAGCCCTGCGCTGCCTCAGGGCCGCTATCACACACTGTGCCTTCATGACAGGACTTGGGGGGTAGGACTTGGCTTTAGAGGTGTAAGTAAGGCCTACAGCTGGTCAGTTGTGGAACCTGATCTAAATCCTGTGAGCTAGGGTAACTAGCTCAATTCTGAGGTTCAGTTTCCTCATTCATGAAATTGTAATAAGAATATGCTGTCAACCTTCTGTGGCCAACACATAGAAGTGCTTTGGGCATGTAGATTCTGTTTGAATATTTAAAATACAAAAAAAGGTGTAAGGGATCATTAGTGTTAACAGCCGTGGGGTATTTTTTCCCTCTTGCTAGTTACGTGTACGTATACCCTTTTTTTGGGCCAATAATATTTTGGTGTAAAAATCTGTTTGTTGAGCTGGGTGGAGCATGCCTGTTTTCTGTGAAGCTGCGTCCTGAGGAGAAGTGACGAAGTGGGGAAAGTGTTGCATTCCTCTAACGCCAGGGCACGGGAGCCTTTCTTGGTCTGACGTGTTGGCGTGGAACTCTGAGCAAGGGTCACACACCATCCGTCCCCCTCGCTGTGTGGACCAAGCTGCCTCCCCTTTGCAGGAGGAGGGTCAGGGTGGCCCAGGGTGGGCAGGCACTTCCAGGT